AAACTGACACCTCTGGTCACCTAATGAGAGATGTTAGGTGGAATAAAACTAAAGTAAATGGGGACAAGACTAAGAGGAGCCAATGAACATACATCCTCTAGCAAAGTTAACTGGACAGCAGAAACTAAGGATAAAACAAAACCAAAAGTACCCTATTTTAATTTAATTTACTTTAACACAGAGATCTCAATATCCTGATACATAACCAGAATCAAAATGTCACTCCAGGTTGGCTCCTTTTACTTAACACTTAAAACTCACTTACTTTTTGCCAAATTCTGATGGAGTTGTCATATTTCTGTCCTAATCTTGATTTTAAGCTGATGCTTCAAGTACAAGATCAGTTGGGAAGAGGTAAACTTTTTGTCCCCATAGAATTCCTTCTAATGTGTTGTCCATAACATCTAGCAAGCAAAAGAACACATAGTGTCCAGGCATTGTCAACAATGATATCACATTGCTACAGACAGAACTGGCCTCAAGGATGAAAAACTTTCCATGCAAAATACAAACCGTGATATCTTCAATAAATCTGCACAATGAAAGAAGGCATGATCCAGAGTCTTCACCACAGCAAATGCAGTTTGGAGATTTTTCCAAGTCTGCTAGTCTTTTGCCAACCCAGAGGGCACTTTGAATCACTGGCCAGGTAGATCATGCCTCCTCATTAGTGAGGCATTTCAAACCAGGTACCCAAAGCCCTATGGAGCAAGCCTCCTGATTCGTAAGACCAAGTTTGTCAATCAAATCATCTTGAATGAATCCCCCTCACTAACATGTGATATGATGCCTTACAGGACAACACCTGGGCATCACAGAGGACATCTGTAACCTGTAAGAGGTGCTTGAGAGCAATCCAACATTCATGGTAGCAGCACTCACCTTGAGGTAAACAGGGGACTTCTTTTTTTCACATGTACACACTTCTCAGGGATGAGAAGTTCTTACAGGAATTTTCCTTCCAGAATTCACTCACCATCCAATTGCTGACACATTCAGTCAAGGAATGCAATACAAAGTGTATGTTGATGAATTTCAATGTTAGGCATACCCAGACCACCTTAAAAAAAGAGGAGGTAACAGATCTCCCAAACTACCTTGGGGGCTTTGCCTCTCCACAAAAAGAACAAGACCCTTATTAATGTCATTAGTATGGCATACAGAAGTGGAAGTATGGAGAGTCACTAAAGGAAAATCTGGTAGATGTGCAAGGAACATACCTGTCCTTTAAGGAAAGATTCCTCCAGGACAACAGATAAGCTGCAACCTCAGCCTTCTCCCACACTTCCGAACAATTAAAGGAGTAAAAGGAGATCGACACTGAACCAGACACCAAATATCTTCACCAGTCCGTCCATCCAGAGGAAAGGCCCGGAAAGATAAACTCACTTCCAACCACAAGCCAACAGACTTATCATGGTTGATCTTGGTCCCTGTCACTATCTCATACCCTCTGATCTCTTTGCCGACTTTGTCTATCTCAGTTCTGCTCAACACAAGAATCAAAATGTTGTCAGAATAAGTGGAGTACCTGACCGAGGTGGTAGCATCAAGTAGGGACATTCCCCATAGGGCCAGATTTGCCTGTAACTTGTGAAGGAAAGTCTCCAATGCAAGAACATACAGCAAAGGCAAAAGTGGACAACCTTGATGAATGGTGCGAGACAATACAAAAGCCTCTGATTGAACATCGTTCACTTCCACCAGTGTACTGGAAGACACATACACTGATTTGGGTGGAGGTGGATGAGCAGATGTTTTCCTAGATGTTGGGGAAGATGGGGCAGAGGATAAGGGACCTTTTACCCCCAACAACAAGTATTCATTTTCACACTTAGCTGAGAATTTTTGTTTCAATGTAATTAACTACTCCTTTATTTTGAAAGAATGTGCATATCTTTTTTGAAGTTACTTCTTTGGGATTGCAACCAGGGCATTGCCCTTAAAACAAGTAGAGGGAGAGGGGCTGTGCATGAATTTCCCTTTGGGGCCTTCCATAGACCATGGCCCCACTCTCTGGCACTTCCCTCTGGCCCTGCTGACGACCAGCCACTTCCTTTTCCACAAGCAACAGCAAAGGTTTTTTGGAAAATGGAGGTCTCAACTGGGGGTGTAACTGCACCGGTTCCAGTTGCTGGCATGCCCATTACAGGTGAGGTGGATTTAACAGACTCAGCCAGGGAAGTATTTTGGTCAATCAGGACCAGAACTCCAGGGGCCTTCTTTGGGCAGGAAGAAGAAAAGTGACCAGTCTCTTCACACTTCCAACATGTTGGTTTTTGGACAGTCACAGTGACCAGCATTTTCTGGCCCTCTAAATCCAGACAGTTGCAGATGGAGATTAAGGCTTTGCAATCCATCATGATTTCAAAACTCCATCACCTGTTCAGATTGTCGGAAGAAGCACTCAATATCTGACCGTACTGGGCTAGGTAGACAGCCTAAGACCTGAGGAGCTTTGCCTGGCTTCATATTCTGTTCTTAGGATGAGATCTTTAGTTATAAGGTCATGACTGGCTACCCGTACACAGTCTTCAGGTGTGCGTAGCAGTATGTTCCATGTGAAATAACCTGTGCCCTTGATTATTCTTTGGGGCTTAACTACAAGGGACGTCAAAGACTTGATGATGTTGTCTTTCATTGAGTGACATATTTTGTATGAACACTTGTCAACCACAAAGACAGACACAATTCATTTCTCAACCTTCTTCAATTCTCAGAGATCCACCAAAAACCCATCTTCTTTGCTAAGATGTGTGTAACCTTTGGCTCTCTGAAAAAATTCTGCGGTGTTGATTATACATTTCAATGGGGACTTCCGTCAGGAGAGTAATTCCTCAGCCACAACACTGTCCACATTCATTATTCTGATTGGCTTCTTCTTTTCTTGGCCAGTTTCAGCCACCATTGGTTCGTTGCCTTTATTAGCTTCATTATTCTTATTTTGGGCTGCCATACTTTCATCTTATGAATTCTTCTTTTGGCCACAATACTTTTGCTAGCACTTGATGGCTTGTGCCATTTTGTTGGATGGGTCAGATTCGAGGCATCCCTAAATAGGTTTTTCTTTACAGAGCAAACTTTGTCAGCCATGATGGATGGCAGGTGTTTTTTTTTTTTTTTTTTTAATCCAGCCATGCACAATTTTTTCTCTATACTAAGGACAAAAATGGAAAACTAACTTCAACCAAAACTATAATACAGAAACCTATTAAAGTTTCCTTGAAAATTAATTAAAAAAAATTAACAATAACCAAATACTAAATAAAAATTAACTCAAATAAACAACAAAAACAAAACAAAATAGAATGCTGATTATACTATTAAATGAAATAAGTTTGGCCTTAGTCAAACAAGAATATGTAAAAATAACAAAAGAAATAACAAAAAAAGTAAGATTGATGTGAAAAATAAAAACCAAGTGTAGCTGAAGTGTTACAACAAATAAATAAAAAAAACCTGACTTAAAAAAAAGTCTCAAATTAAAACAAATACAAAGTTCCAAATAATTCAAAAATAAAAATTATAAATGCTGATAGGAAAAATTAAAAGAAAAATAAACAGTGCAAAGGAAGTTCATGAAAAAAGTTCATCCTAAAGCAAAAAACATAACAGAAAGAAAGAAAAACACTAAAAAAAAATAAAACAAGAGATTTAAACAAAAAACAATATTCTGGAGTAACTAAATATTATACTAAAAGAAAAAGAAAAATTCAGCTGAAAAGCTGAGAGGCAGAAAAAAAAATAAAAACTGAAAAAAATTCACAAAATCAGAACAGTGTAATAAAATTCAAAACAGACAATAATAATATCAATAAAAAAAATTTCTTCAAGTCTTTTGAGTAATCTAAATAAAGAGTAGCAAATGAAAAACAGTCTGTTACTAGTCAAAGCAAAAAGTGAACTGACCTCGTACTAAGGTACCAAAGTAGGTAACTCATCAGAACAATTAACATAAAAATCTTTATAGAAAAGGCACAGGGAAACTACATTATCACCTTCTTGCTTTCCAGTCAACTTTGATCTTCAAAAATTTAAATGCAATGTCAGTTGTCATCTTGTCTCCTTTTATGTTCTTTCATTATCCCCTCTTCTAAAAAATGTTCTTTTGTTCTCGGGTTTTTTTTTCTTTAATAAAATTTCAATATTTTTCTGTTTCCTAGGACCTTGGTAAAAATGGTTTATTATTCTACAATGGGCTATTCATGTTGGTTCCAGCTACGATAGTTGCCAAAATGACTGGAGGTCTGGTTGGTGTAAGTAAAAATTTTATTGTGTTGTGGGGGGAGGGGGCTCAGTCGCTGCTAATATGGCAAATATGGTCGTTTCATTATTGTTTTTCATACTGCATATTGGTATAACACAAAAAATACACAATAGATTTTGTATCTTCTTTGTCAAGTGCTTATAAAATTTGGCATTTAGTCATGGTATGGATGGATAGATAACGAGATGCAAACTTTATCAGTTGCATTGCAACTGCTTTACAGTGCATATACATTGTAAAGATTAATGATATCTAAAATTTTATGTTAAATGAACAGTAATGCTAGCACTTGAGATATTTGTGTCCCTTTACAAAATGAGTGAAGTAAATTATTGGAAGTCCTGTTTCTTCCTGAGAGTCAGAGTTTAAACAAAGATGATGGTTTTGTCATCTCTAGTGTCCATTTTCTGGCAACACCTATTTCCTGTCCAAATAACATGAGACCGGTAGTATTGGGTTACATGGTACCAGTAACAGGAAAGAATCTCTGACCTGACTGCTTTCTTATATTTATATATACATATTGTTATATTGATAATAAGCTGAATAAATTAGACTAAGTTAAGCATCTAGATACACAAAATACACACCTGTTGCTACTTCCATGGAAAGTGCTTGGATGAACTACATTCCTTGGTTCTGCCAGGTCTAACCTTCATGGCTAGGACCTGCCATACCACTTTCATTGTAGTCAACCACCCACATTCCCTCTGTATTCTATCAGTGAGAAGTTTCACTAAAACAGCTTCTTCCCGTAAACTACTGCTCTGTAGAACAGATTCCCAAGAAGATGTTTCCCCAATCACTACAGTAAACTGCTCAAGCCTAGAGTTAACCATTATCTTCCCCTCCTGTCTATATAAACTAAACCTTTACATAACCCTCTACCTCAAGTGGTCCTCAGGCCTTGTACAGGGTGATCCTTATTGTAAATTAAAAAAAAAAATACCACCACTGCTGATATCTTACTCCAACCACCTCCTTACTCAACGCACAACCCAAAATGTATAAAATAGTAAAAGTATTGAAAGTAGTGAAAATGTGAGATTTGTATGAGGCTACTCCTTGTTATGGCCAATTAGAAGTGAAGCACAAATCAAATTCAGCTAATGTCAGTCATTTACAGCATCCTCATTAAATCAATATCCATTGACAAAGCCAATATTGACTCACAGAAGACAGGCTTCTTTTTTTTAATTTCCCTCATCTTTTATTTTATATGAAGTCTGTGTGTGTAAATCTACACATTACTCCTCTTAACCCTTTAAGGCTGGAAGCCCCCAGATGTACCTGCAAGTTTCAAACACTTACTGTCTGCAACTGTAGGATGGAATGTGCTGTATTTCAGTACACAGTGTTACACATGATCAACTAGAGGTGCCAGAAATCTGCAACATTTTGGCAATCTACAAGAAGGCTGGAGCATACAACAGCCCAAATGTCATAAATGTGGCAATAAAGATGAGGACAACAGTCTGAACAGTGTAAATTGTTAAAATTAAAAGTTTAAATATCAGTGCCTCCTCTCTTTCATGTGTAGTTCTATCAATGTAAACATCACTTTAGCCTGAAGGACATAACACACAAATCTTTCCACTTTGTCATTAATTATTCTAATAATATTCATAGTAATTATGTCAGATTAAAAAGTCCATTAGAAATTATTTTCTTTAGGTTTTTGATATGAAAATAAAGCCAGCAGTTATAGATCATATGCAGAAAACGGTTTTAGATATAGATGATATACAGATTTATTCCAACAAAAGATATGCCTTTCCTAAATAAGTAATTGAATTTTGCTTTATGATGACATTTTCATGGGACCTAATTCGTAGGTTATACTTTGGCTTAAAACATGGTTTCCCTGATGGAAAAAGGGAACACTGGTTTGATTTTTCTCAGGAAGCAAATTTTCCTTAGTAGAATTTCTCAAGGTCAGTTGACATTGTACTGAAGAGTTTTAATTAGTAGAGAGAGAGAGAGAAAAAAAAAAAACCTAGCCCACCCCAAGTTGTGATACTAATGCCTTATAGGAATTCTCAGGCACACAGATGACCTCCTAGGGGCTGTGAAAAGCAGATAACTGTGTGCCTGTAGCTACAATCTACAAGCTGAATTTTTTTTTTTTTTTAAATCTATCGGAACTTTGGGTGTTAAAGATAACCATACTTGATAATGTTTTAGAAATTTTCAAAAACAATATTTTTTTTTTTACTATTCTTTCAACTTTTTATTATTATTATTATTATTGATACAAACATTATTCACATGTTTTTTTTTTCTCCCAGACAGCTCTTTGTAGCAATGTTGAGAGTAGGAAATTTAAGTGGACTTAGTATAATAACAAAAAAGAACTTTAGAAATATCTTGCTGAAATGTTGTTTATACAAAAGTTTTAGAAAAGTAAAAGAATTTCTATTACAGATTTCTTTGTCTGTAGGATGGGTATTCGTCTAGTTAATAGATAATGTTGTTAATCTCATATTGTGCCCAAGTTATAAATTGGTATAATATATATAAGGTTTCAGTACTATCCACACTTCCAGGAATCAACTAGGGGTCAAGGAATATATCACCCACAGATCATAGGAATTGTGGAGGAGGATACTTTAATATAAAAAAAAAAAACATATTTAATTTAAGAAATGTTTGTTGATATTTTTTTTTACCGTATATACTCACAGATAGGTCGCATTTTTTTTAACAAAAATTTCACAAAATATTAGGCATGTGACCTATCCACTTGACATAAATATAAAACAATGCTATCTTGTCATCATGATTTCTGACAAATTGGAAATGATACACACAAAACACTAAAGCTGTAGTTTTCTCTACATAGAAACAATTTATCTATCATATATATTGACCCATTGCTTTAAACTTATCTCATGTTGCTAGGTTCACATATCCATCACAATAAATAAATAAAATTATAAAATATTCATTGATCCATCAGTCACCATTGATTTAATATGGTTTTATGTGGTTGCTAAAATATTAAATATTTAATATGGTTTTATGTGGTTGCTAAAATATTAAATATTTAATATGGTTTTATGTGGTTGCTAAAATATTAAATATTTAATATGGTTTTATGTGGTTGCTAAAATATTAAAAGAAATAATATTCATGAATAACACTGATGCAGACTCAAATAAACTGACAAAAAAAATAATGAAACACACTATTTTGTCACCACTTTTTTATTCTATCTGCTTTGGTTTCATACAGAATTGTCACGTTTTACTTATCTTATCCTGCTAATACTCATCAAATTTGAAAGTATATGCTATACTTAAGAGATTAATTACAATAAAGCTTTTTTTTTATTCTTGATGCAATAAACTTTTTTCTTTTTCTTTTTTCAATTTTAATCAGCACACATTTACATATTGATTTAATATGGTTTTATAAGAGCACTGAAATATGCTGCAGTTAATTGCTTATATAGGATCTTTTATTTTTTTCTCTCTTGTTGGTGTCATATAGCAGAGTTGTAATTCTAGCTTTAATCATCTTTTGAAAACTATGAAAGATGTGTTTTGGTTTACAAAGAAATAAAAATAATATTTAAATTATACACATTAAAATATTATCATCATTTATTTTGATAATGGTCTTTTGCTTTTTCTGTTCTCTTTGGCAGGTTCTAGATTTCCCTGAATGGAAAAACCCAGTGTTTGTTTTTATGTTTTTATTATCATGTGTTATGGGATTTATTTTGAATTACACAATTGTCCTGTGTACATCATATAACTCAGCTCTTACCACAACCATTGTAGGTGTTATTAAGGTAAGTTTCTTTCTTTTTTTCTTTTCTTTTTTCTTTTCTTTTCTTCTTCTTCTTTTTTTTCTTCTTCTTCTTTTTTTCTTCTTCTTCTTTTTTTCTTCTTCTTCTTTTTTTCTTCTTTTTTTCTTCTTCTTCTTTTTTCTTCTTCTTTTTTCTTCTTCTTCTTTTTTCTTTTTCTTCTTTTTTTTTTTTTTTTCTTCTTTTTTTCTTTTTTTCTTCTTTTTTTCTTTTTTCTTCTTTTTTTCTTCTTCTTTTTTTCTTCTTTTTTCTTCTTCTTTTTTTCTTCTTTTCTTCCTTTTTTTCTTTTCTTTTCTTCTTCTTTTTTCTTTTTTTCTTCTTTTTTCTTTTCTTTTTTTCTTTTCTTCTTTTTTCTTTTTTACTTCTTTTTTACTTTTTTTCTTTTTTCTTTTTTTTTTCTTTTTCTTTTCTTTTTTCTTTTTTCTTCTTTTTTCTTTTTTCTTTTCTTTTTTTCTTTTTTCTTCTTTTTTCTTTTCTTTTTTCTTTTTTTTCTTTTCTTCTTCTTCTTTTTTTTCTTTTTTTTTCTTTTTGAGAATGATACAGAGTTCAGAAAAGTATTTGATATCATTTTTTATTTGTAAAAATCTGTTTTTATTATAAAGATACAATATTATAATAAACTATTACATAAGGGCAGATTAGCTTATTTACTAATAGTTACCAGTGTGTATTAGTATCAGTTAATGTTTTTCATTGAGTGATTTATTTCTGCATACTGTCCTCATCTTGGTTGTTATAGTCACAACATTTTGGTCATTGTAAACTGTCATTTTTGGGAATTTCAAAATCAATCCCTCTATTCTGTCCACTCCAGAAGGTATTTCTGTATTTGTTAATTCCTATTAATCACCCTGTCAGTTGAGGACAAGAATATGCCAATTGTATTCCTGTGCAGAGGGGCATCCCCAACTAAAAAAGAGCCACCTGGTTGCTGTACCCATGTCTCACCTATTTTTGACTCATACAAACCAGACCAATGTCCTACCTGTTTTAAATCTCATGCAAATTTGACCCATGTCCTACCTATTTTTGATTTGTGTTAACTGGACCCATGTCTTACCTATTTTTGATTCTCATGCAAACCGGACCCATGTCCTAACTATTTTTGACTCTTGTTAACCAGATCCATGTCCTACCTATTTTGACTCTCATCTACCTTTCTGTTTATCAAAATTACAAAATTCAGTATTAATTAACCTGGAAAAGATTGATATGCTACAAACCAAATTTTTATTAAGACAGTATAGAAATTTCACAACCACCAAATAATTAACTAATAATTTTATCCACTAGGCTAGTCTCCAAGAATAACCGGGCAGTAGTACTTTGGAGTTCTTAAACCCAGTATCTGTTCTCTCCTCATCAAAAAGCTTTTCAGAGATTGTTTAATTCTATGCTTGGTTTACCTGAGGAGTTATCAGACAAACCACATTTGCATTCAAACTTATATATATATATATATATATATATATATATATATATATATATATATATATGAACAAAGATATTTGTTTTTTTGCCTGTATATTTTAATTACTTAGAAGTAAATGGCTGTTCTTCATTGGTAAAACATGTCAAAGTAAAAGAATTTTATTCACAAGATATCACCAGTTCTTCTGTGAAACATTTAAAAGTAAAAACTTTCCAAATTGTCTTGTATATTTACCATTCCGTCAGATTCTCATTCAACTTTAATTACATGCACACATTTTGTTTGTGCAGATACACAAATATACAGATGCATTTGAAGAAACACTTACTATTGCTTATATATATATATATATATATATATATATATATATATATATATATGTGTGTGTGTGTGTGTGTGGTCTTTCTGAAGAGTAATGGAACTAGTGTTACAAACAATTTATTTCAATTTCAAACAACAAACTACATGGTTTCCCCATTAAAGTAATCCCTCCTTGAGTCTAATGCACTTTCAAATCCTTCTATGCCACGCTTCTATACACTGCTGGAAAGATTCTTCTTGGATGTCCCTGAACTCCATTATTACAACCCTCTTGATGGCCTCCACACCTTCAAAATGAGTTTCCTTGATACCCCCAAAAAAAGGGGAGCTTTGGGAAAAGAAAGTCACACAGAGCAAGAGCAGGTAAATGGAAAGGTTGTTCCAGTATGGTAAGGTTTTTCTCAACCAGGAATTGTCAGGTGCTCAGAGCATTATGAGCAAGTTCATTGTTGTAGTGAAGAAGCCATGATTTGTCCTGCCACAAAAGCATTTGAAAAAAAAAAATGCAATGGTTGCAGAAAGTTAAGATTACAGTTATATACTCACAAGATATCATGTTAGATGTTAACACAATCCGCCTATTCTTTCACACAGCACACATAGTCCCATTAATTTTCATTTGTATATATAATCTTCAAACATTTTTAGTAGATACCTGTGTTTGAATTGATGCCCTGTTTTTTAAACAGTGTTTATTACATTTACTCAAGAAAACTTTAAAAAAAATTTTTTCAAGAACACAGGTCACTAGACATAATACACACTGGTTAAAAAAAAAAAAAATGATCATCTGTCCAAACACAGGTATAGACTAAAAATAATGTTTGAAGTAATAAAAATTTCACATTAATAATAAATCAGTTAATTCTTTAGAAATAAATAAATATGCATGTGTGTGTGCTTATACTGCATTTCCTGTATGCTACAATGTAGTTGTTTTTTTTTTCTTCCCCTGAAAAATGCCCTCAAAAATCAGCTTGTATCTTAGCACTGAAAGATCAAGTTGTGGAGAGGAGTTGACAACCCTCATGAATCCCAGTCATCATGTGTTGAGATGCCTTGTGGTGGCAAGTACGAGTTGTTTTTGATGTGAATAGGCATAGCATTGTGTTAAACTATTGAAAATCTAATTCATAATAACCACAAATATTTAATAATAGATCCAAACTAATGATTTGTTGTGACAAAAAGAAAAATGACACTGTAGAGTCGGCAACTTGGATTTGTTAGTATGGTAAACTATTAAATCCTCAGATATTTTTTGTTCCAAAAAATACCTACCTAATTATAGGGTGTGTCTTACCACATGAAAAATATGGTATTTCTATGAAGGATGCTGAAAAGTTCTTATTGGCTCAGCTTCACTTCCCAAGATCTGATCAAATTTTTTTTTTTTTTTTTTTTTATATCTTCTTGGTCAGGCCTTTAACATTTTTTTTCAGCATCCCCACCCCTTATTTAGAAGATGTCACTTTGAATAGTTTTTCATGTACAATTCTGAATAATTTGTTAATTACACTGAAAAATGTAGAGATGGATTTCATTGTTTCTAAAATGTTTTGAATTTTTATTTTTAGAATCTTCTAATTACATATATTGGAATGTTTCTGGGTGGAGACTATATTTTCAGTTATACAAATTTCATTGGATTAAATATCAGGTATGTATTTTTTTCCCCCCCAGCACAAGTGAACCTTCATACCTGCAAAAAATGAAGTATCAAAAAGATATTTTGGGGGGGTTTCTTTTCCCATGACAGCACTTTTTAACTACTACTTAGCAATATTTGTTTTAAAAAGCGATGATTAGAATTGTATTAAAATCCAAACATCTTATGAAAGTGAATTTTATACATTTTTTCTTGAGAATTTACAACAAAAATATTAAACACTGTTTATTTATTAGATTGCTTATTTATGAGAATAATTTTATATTTGTAACTTTTTAAAAACTAATACAATTGTATTAAGATGAATGTAATATTTATCATTTACCAATTTATAAAATAAAAAATTTTATTCAAAAATTTATAAACATTTACTAAATTATTAAAATATGCAAACCAGCAATAAGTAAATCCTTTTTATTTACCATTTCATAAAGTTTGAATCGATTGGCAATTAGCCACTGTTTTGCCAACCATTCCAATAAACAACATAATAGTGTAAATAAACAATATAATAAATAGTGTTTATTATTTTTGTTGTAAATTCTTAAGAACAAAGAAAATATATAAATTCACTTTCAAATGTTTAGGTTTTATTCCAATTTTAATCATTACTTTTTAAAACAATAAACATTGGTGAAGTGTGAAAGTAGTTAAAATAAAAGAAGTGCCATGGGAAAAACTGTCCTTTGACATTCCATTTTTTTTATTTTTTTTTTTGTGGGCATGAAGGTCTATGTTTTCCCCTTTTTCTTTTACTCTCCATCCTCTGGTTTGTATTACTACATGTCAGAAAATAGAGATTTATTATATAATAATAATTGTGTTTGTATCATTGATTCTTTAGAATATTTACAGTGATTCAAATTAAATTAAAATTTTTATTTAGTTTCTTGAATTAAGAATTTTGAAAATGTTTCTTAAGGAAAACATTCTAAGATTTTAACTCTATATCCATAAAAAACAAAATTTTATACAAATTACTATTATTTTATCAAAAAAAAATTGCACCTGTCATTTTAAAACTATAAATTCATAAAAGTTAAAAAATCAAATAAAACTGAATTGTATGCACACACTAGGAATCAACATTGCATGGAAACTGTCAGTTTCACTCCACAATGCTTCAGAACATATGTCACTACTCCTTTGGAACTGGTTTCTTCCTCCTGTTTCCCTTGATCTCATTGACATACACACACACACACACACATATTTTATGAATTCACAATGTATAAAGGTCCAAAAGAGAAAGGTAGGTACGCTCAGATAGGAACACGCGAACAGGTACTGACTAACAACAAACATAAGATTAACATTTGCAAATAAATATATAACAAAATACAAAATATGAAAAAAGCATGGAGTAACAGATGTACAATTACTAAAAGAACACTTAATTGATATTGGATGTCAGCTCAAATGTTTGTGTTTCAGGAATTTGGAGTTTGAATGTTTGTAATGAGAGACAAAGTTGCTGTAGAATGTTCACAGAAGTTGGTTGTTCTTTTTTTCGCAATGTGAAATATAAAATTCAGGAATAATGTTTGTGTTTTGTTTCCCGTTGGTTAATTGGATTGCATCCAAGATGAAATTATGATGATTTCCTATTGTTTCTTTGAGTATGTTCTTCCTTATCCTTTACCCATTAAATAGTCAAATAGACCAAAGATCTCCAGGACAAAATTTTCTTATTCCTGACACACACACACACACACACACACACACACACACACACACACATATATAGTACACAATAAAATCCAAAATTACTTCATATGGGGAATAGGCTTATGTTTAGAAGAAAAAATTAAAATAATAAAATACAATAATCAAAGCCAACTATTGAATCAAAGGAATAAATTAGTGTTAAAACATCAACATAAAAACAAATTCAAATTTCCATAATATAGATTTTACTTTATTAACTACTATATTTCTCTAACTTTTCAAATGTCAAATGCATAACTAATTCTAATTTCTATATTTCCATCTTTACGCCATATTAATTATAGTTAAATTCCCAGATGAATTCTGTGGACAAGACAGATTGGTATCAAATGACAATTGGAAAAAAAATGTTGGCAAACTGTTTGATTTTTTTCCAATTGTCATTTGATACCATATTAATTATCTTATAATTGTCCTCTGTTCTAAGAATTCTCTTTCCTTTTAATACTTACACCTTTTTATCTATATGTTTTAGGGTTGTTTTTAAATATAACTTTGTATTTTTAAGTATAATTTTATATTTTTAAATATAACTCGCTTTTGATTTAACTTATCTTTAAAGTTAAAATTTTTATTTATTTCATTTTTATTTCTAAATGTATAATTTATTTTATCCTATTATATTTTTTATTTTTTAAATATTTTTTATCCTTTAATATAACCTATTGATTTTATATTAAATATAAACTTTTTTTAAATATAATTTTACTTAATTTTAATATAAATTATTTAAATATGACTTATTTTTAATTTATTTAAGTATATCTTATTTTTAAATATAACTTGTCTTTGGAAGAGTACTTTTAAGTATGATTTTGTATTTTTAAACATAACTTTATATAATTTAGATTTTTTTTTTAACCCACTTTTTATTCCTCTCTTAGTTTCAAATTAACATTTCATTCTTCATATAACCCCAATTTAATGTCATAAGGTTAATATCTGGGTTTAATTTTATAAAACCTCTTCCCTTTAAGACTTCCATCCTCCTCTGATCATTGTCTTGTGCCTTTCGTCTGACTGATACATTGAAATGGATAAATTCTGTATTAGTTTTTCGAAGGATTTTTTTTTGTAGCTGTCACAGTTAAATGACAAATCTATACCTGGGTTGAATAAGACTGTCAAATTTTGTCAGTTGATATAAGCCTATTCCTTAAATGCTATTCTCTCATGGGACAATTCTTTGGGAAGAACTTGGAGCTTTAAACTTAACCTGCCTGCTGCTGCTTGGCTGCACTCACTGAACGTTTTCTCTTTTGTTATAGCTGCTGCTACTGTTGAAGACCTATTGTCATTTTTCTTTCTTTCTTTTTAAGTGGCTCCCAAATCATATTTCTATGCTAGGCCTATTAATGAGGTTCTCATAGCCGAGCAGGATGAAGGCCAGAGGGTGCAACAATCAAAACATTGGGATAACTTCAAAGATGAAGAGATTAGTTTGCATGTAAATCATGTAAATAATGATAACTCCTCATCTCAAAAATTCGGAGACAAGGCGATCGGGTGATAACAACAAAGATGAAGACAATAGTCCAAAAATAAATAACAATAAATCCTCATCCCAGGAATTTTTTTTTTTTTTTTAAATATAAAATTTTTTCTTTTTCCATTTTTTTTTTTTACCCATAATTTTGGTTAAAGTGATAATGTCTGTCTTCTATCACCATTATGTTGATTATATGATAACAAGTTTAACTTGTAAATGCAAAATGATAAACTAGCCCATGTAGATGTAGGGTTTTAGATAGAACAGCTTGCCTTGCGAGCAGATAATAAAGGTGAGTTACCATCCTTGGCACAGTAGGGTCAACTGAGATGAATTAGGGCCTTTGCCATAGATTCAGTCTGGTCCTGAGAAGAGGTTGAAGCAAGATATACTGCAACCAATATCCAGACTCACACCAAGGAGAACAAAGATATTCCTAGATGATAGCTGATGACCTTACCTCATCTTAACATAAAGGTATTAATCTTTTTGAAAGTACAACCATCACCTATTGTAAGTACCATGTTTATGTTATGTTGTTGTTTTGCAGTACCAAAAAATATTTTTCTTCATTTCAAATATTGAAATTTTTTCTTTTCTTTTCCAGTGTCTTTGGTAGTTTGTTATATTCTTACATCACATTTAAAGGATCATCAAAGGAGACATTAAAACCTGCTCATCAACCTCAACGGGCTTAAGAGTGATTTCAGCTTGCTGCTCAAGGTACTGCTTTTTTTTCTTTACTAATTGATCATACACTACAAGGCCCAAGTGCCACTCAGAATAGAGGCTTAGTGAATGGGGTTATTGTACAACTGTGAGGTAGAGGTAAGAAGCTCAGATTATAAGGATATATATGAAAGATAAGTTGTTGCATTCACTTTCACATAATACCTCTGATAAAAGCATGAATCCATCTCTTCCTTCAACTACTGGTTAAACAGTGGGGTAGATTAAGCTCTCTAGCCTTGCATGGCAACTAATCTAGGAGAAGGACTATTATGAATTCAAAACTATGGAAAAGGCAACAGGAAATCACTCTCTTACCCCAAAAGTTATAGTAATTCATAGACAATAAAGAAAGTATTCTGGGATTTGCCAAGATTACCTACCTCCTGTAGGGACAGGCCATAAATAAAATTTGAAAAATTGTCAACTGTTAATTTTAAGTAGTATTTACTTCCATCTACATTTTTAGTTGCATTTAAAAAAAAAAAAAATATCAAACCAAAAGTAAATACCTTTCATGTAATTATTTATAGAATTCAGTTTTTACCTTAGTCCTGGGTATGATGATAAACTACATCCAGCAGCAAGACCTCTGATCAGGAGATTGTAGGTTTTGAGGAGCATGGAACCACCTCTTAATTGCTGTTGTTCCAAGATCCACCCTGACCTGGTGTGGTACCACCTGTTAGGGTCCCAGCTATGTGCAAATAGTGCCCCCCCCCCAACCAATAAAAACAAAGCACTATGAAAGTCAAAAAATAGATTTTTATAGTAAAAATACTAGCAATACATTTTTATATATAAAAAAAATTACCAACAATACATTTTATATGTAGTTAAAGGCATGCAGTTGTGTTCCAAATATTTAGATTTCAGCATTAAATAACCCATAGAAGATGATATGCCACTAAATAAAGTCAACCAAGATGAAAGAATTATTTCATGACATTAATCTATATAATATCCTACAATTTGTTAAAGAAATCAAATTATATTCCAAAATATAACTTCAACATAAAATACATATCATCACCTCTAGTAATAATGTCCACATAAACATGTACTATGTATTCAATTGTCAAAGCAGAATAACATATATCTTATTTCAAATCTCCCAAGAAAATGAAATTTTAGCATTAAATGATCCATAAGGAGTTGATATACCACTAAACAAACAAATCAATCAATCAGTTTCACCTGGTACAAAGACACAAGTATGGCAGCTTACGGCCACATCACATTGAAATACTGGCTCCCGTATAATCCCCAAAGTTAAACAACATTTGGTCAGTCAGTACCTAGATGGGTCACTGCTTAGGAATAACAGGTGCTTTAAGCTTGGATGTGCGGGTGGTGTAGTGGATAATGCCTTGGAATTGTTAATTGGAGAGCCAAGTTTCAATTCCAATTAGTATTGTTATATTCACATACACACAAATACTCTTGAGAAAGGCATGACTCCAGTTATTCCCCTCTTCCTCTGAGAGTTAATTAGTAAGACTTGTGTCACTAAATCATTATCATCTCAAAAAAAAAATTTTTACAATTTGAAAAATATTTTCTGGTTTTAAATTACCTGCAAAGGGTTGATAAACCACAAAAAATGAATCAATTGTCTTCACTTTACAATGTATCCCATTTATATAGGTACCTCCACTTTTTTTGCTAAAAAAAAAAACAGCATAGCATGATGAAAAAAGGCCCCAAACTTAATAAAAGCAAAGTTTTATTGTTAAAATGTTTGTTATTATTAAGAGGAAAGATCAGAGTATTTTTTAATTATTTTTAAATTTTTTTTACTCCTTTTTAACACGTTCAAAATTTTGGTTAAAATCTTTTTATGCATCGACTGTAAAAGAGCTATGGAAATTTTAGTGCCTTTTTTTCTTTACATTTGTTACCCCCCCCCAAAAAAAAACTTAATTTCATGAAATTTCTAAAAATTAAATTCCATCCACCAAATTTGTTTTATTAGTTAAACAAGGACTCCTTGGAGAATGTAAATCATCTATTTTTTTTTCTCCAAACAGTTACTGCTTTCCTGAAAATCTGCCTTTATGAATAGCATATTAAGGACATTATAGTCTAAAGAAAAAATTGTTTTTTGATGAATAATGAATTTTTACAAGAATTTTTATTTTTTTTATTTTTTAATTATAATAATTTATAAAGTTTCAAAAATCTTTTTAAAATTCTTCAAAACTGTGACCACATTAGGTTATTAAGTGAAGACTATATTTACTAAGCAAAAATTGAAAATTGATAATACAAATCATCACTCACTATTTTTGAAATAATTAAAAAAAAAAATGTTGTGTGTATAAACCTGCCCATTTTGAAAGTATGGGTGACGATACACAACATTATCAGAAAATAAGATCAATGACTATAGTAAATTTAAAATCAACATTACTTAAATTAGCTTACAGAGAATATTTCCAACATTTTTAAGATTACTGAGTACTTAAAAATTACATAAAAAAAATGCATTCACTCATCATTTTGTTAAATTATGTTTTCACAGATAGTCTCCATAGAACAAAAATAAACCTGTGAACACCTTATCAGTGCTTGTTAAGTGATTGATGAATGATGAAAAGCATGTAAAAGCTACTGCTTGTTTTAAAAATCCATTTCAACTTAAAGTAAATAATATTTTTTCAAATCAGATTAATTATACTTTAAATCCAGTTAATATTCCTCATCTAAAGTTTCAGAAAATTATTTTTTTTTTTTTTTTTTTTTTTTTTTTTTTTTTAAGATTTTTTTTAAGATTTTTTTTTTAATGCAGAGAATTATATTGTGATGAAAGACGACTAAAAAGGTGCTAGTCAGCTATTTTAGAAAAAAAAAAAAACAATTCCAATCAATATAATTCTTGTTTGAAATACACAAGAGTATTTTGCTTACTGGAAATAGTGAATTTAATCCTTTAGCTTTCAATTAAAACTAAAATGAAAGCTTCAAGAAAGCTTTTTCATTTATAAAAATTCATTTTAAATTTTAGGTGCAATACCTAAAGTTTAATATGAATTTTTATAAAAAAAATTTTTTTTTAAATTTTAGTGGAGGTAACTACATTTATATAACAATTATTACCTGCAATTAGTTGATAAACAATAGAAAATGAATCCATCCATCAATCAATCACAAATATGGTGTGCTCGCTGAGAATTGAACTTACTACTGTTACGATAATCTGCAAAACAAGCTTGCTAACCGATGGAAATTTGAAGAATTGCATAGATTAATTTTTTTTTTATTATACACTGAGCTATCCTAACCTTTGACCTCATCATGGTTGTTATTTCTGGCCTTTTCCACATTCTCATCCTATTTGGTAATCTTAGAATTTTTAATTGAACCCAATATTCTATTGAGTGAGCACAGCTGGAGAATAAGACAATTGAAAATCATCATAAATAACCTCCTCAGTAAGCCAAGCATAGAACTAAATACCATATGGAAGGCTTTGGTCAAGAGAGAACAGACATTAGATGTTGTTGTTTTAATTGCCATGACCCTTCAGGATGTAAGCAAATATAGCTTTCCATGGATTCTTTTATGTCTATTATCTATGAATTGTCATCTCTTGTTAAAGATAATGATTTCCTATTGTTTTTGCCATGGTTAGCAGTTCAGTTTTCTTTCTTTTAGACTGGTTGCCATTCCACTCTACATGAAACCAACTTTTGAAGGTGACCCTCTTCCATGAAGCCAGCTTTTGGAGGCATTCAAAAGCATATAGAAATAGTGAAAGATACCTTTCAGAAACTGTAAGGTATTAAGGGATTGAAAAATAACATTTGAAACAAAGGATAGTGTTGGACTGGAATATAATATCCAACTTTGGTATGATAATGAAAATGGGAGACTTCATCACAGATGAAGAAAAGAGTTGAAACAACTGAAAATATTGAGAATATTATAGACAGAACATGTGACAAATTAGGAAGTTCTAAAGATAACTGGAACTATAAAGAAGATGGGGGACAGCTGAAATTTGTGGTAAACACAATGAGAAACAAAAGACAGGAAGCTGTGGAGACCCATGACATCCATTACATGTTTTAGTTCTTTTTTCCTTTATTGAATTGAATGTTTGTCTTTTGTTCTTCAATCATCAACTATTAAAAAGAAAAAAAATATCCCTCTACCCTTTTGATCTCTTTTTTTTTTTTTTTTACTTTTTCTCCGGGTTTCACTTAAATTCTCAGTTGATTTGTTTCTTTTTTTTTGATTTTCAGGCAGTTTCAAAATGGACAATCTTTGACTTTCATCCCTGACAGGGTTTGGTGTGCAGACACCCAAAATGACTTTCAGTCAAACAGGATTAATTTCACCCATCCTCTCCCAAACTGTAATCTGTTACAGTTCACCAACCGTTTGGTATGACTATAAACAACCCAAACACCCAAGATTGTATGGTTCCACCCAATTGATCATTTAGAACATTTCACAGTATCTGAATTTATTGCTGCTGGAGAAGAAGAAAAATCTCTCTCTCTCTCCCTCTTTTCTTTTGATTCTTTCTATTCTTGGCTGCGTGAATAGAAAATAGAAAATATTACAGAGAAAAGTCAATATATATTGGATATCAACTATGTTGACATCACTTGAGTTGGTCTACGTGTAAAAAATAGAAAAAAAAAAATTTTTGGAACAATTTTTGTAGATTAGCATTCCTCAAGGCACAGCATTTGTGAGAATCAAAAATATTGGGGGGGGGTTGGTTTGGTTTTGTTTGTTTGTTTTTTTTATCAATTTAGAAGGTTGGGAGCTCTGTTCATAATACAGAAATACTTGCCATATATACCTTCCAGAAATACCTCCCACCTAATGGTAAGACATTAATGGCAATGGTGTCTTCATCTAGCTAATCTTTTACCATTATGTGAGAGGTATTTCTACTCCACCCTGTACAGTGAAATTGATCCCTGATTTCATAAAGAGATATCTGTACTTTGTTTTATTTACAAATGTCAAGTTTGAAACTGCTTATGTCATTGATAGCTACTATTACAAATTAGGAGATGGGCAACATCAGTTGTATGCAGTTATCAAAGATGTAAGCACAGTTTCAAATAAAATAAAAACTAAGTACAAATAAACTCTTTACAAATTCAGTGATCAACTTGACACTGTATTTATATTATTAACAGGGTTCCACTTCTAAAATGATAAAAGAATTCATTTCCCAACCATTCTGACAAATGTTGTAGGGAGAGAAAGATCTAATAAATGCTGATCTACAAAAATTGCTTCCCTATCCAACTTTTCCTTATATTTTTATTTTTAATATGTGTGTGTGTGTGTGTTTTTTTTTTGTTTTTTGTTTTTTTCAGTCAATTTAATAGTACCATCTAAAAAAAACAAAAAAAAACTTATTTGTATTCGTATAAGAAAAGGATTGTTCAGGTTATTCCACAAGTGCAATAATCCTTTGTTTTCAACACTTATTTACATATTTGTCCATTTTAGATCTTTATCAATTTGGTTGAACATAATTTGTTTCTCATCATTTGTTTCTCTTTCATAAATACACTCTGTTGTACATTCATGATCTCTTGCTGATCGATGGGTCATTAAGTTTTAAACAAACAAACAAACAAACTGTTGTACATTCAGTGTTGCTTGGTTTATTTACAAGATCAGGTAATATTGTTTAGTGGGGATATATTAATAAAGTTTCATCTCTATATTGGAAATATGTTAATTGTTCCAGTAAATATATTTTGGAAAGACAAGTCTGTAGAATTTCTAAGAAAAGACAAGCTAAGACCGTGCTAAAAAGTGATCCCGTTGGTAGTTCAAATTTTTGTTTATAAAATCATTGTTGAAACAACACATTTCTGATACATTGAGGATGCTTTATTAATATATACCCACTAAACATTACTACCTGATCTTGTAAATAAACTAAACAACATTGAATACACGATAGAATGTACTTATAAAACGGAAACATAATACACAACTTTTACTCAATATCATGTTAACTTGTACTGTATTTTTATCACATTGCATTTAAATTGCTCTATACAAATTTCATCATTGTATTAAATTTTTCAGATTTCAAAAGTTTATAAACAGCAATAATTTTGTATGCATACAGGTGGGAAACAGATCTAGCCTGATGTGTATACTCTATACAGTATGTTATTATATGTACAATTGGGATTCTGTATATGTTGCAGTATATTGGATAGACATTGTAATGCAGCCTGTAGTGTATCGTTTATGTTGTATTTAGTTATACACATAAAGTGCATGTGTGAAGGTGTGTCTGTTTGTTTGTGTTTATATATATATATATATATATATATAAAAGATCTATGACAAATTGGATAAAGTTTGCATGTGACACGTTTCATCTAAAGCCATGTTTATGTTGATGCAACTACACGTGCACACAAAAGAGGAGGAATGATAAAATTTTAAATTATATATAAAGTGTGTGTGTGCATTAGTTGTCCAGCATAATGAGTCTGAGCATAATTTTTTTGATTTAAAAACTGATACTCTAATTAAGAGAAAACAATTTATTAAATGGAGATGCATAGAAAATGCATTAATTGCTAGATCAGCCACAGTAAATTTAGGTGCAGGATTTTACAATATTTCACCTTTCTTGGCAGATCTTTTCTTATTAGTGTGGGTTAATTAATAACAAAAGTTAGAAAAAGAAAGTAAATGAAATAGATTAGACGATATGCCCAAAACTTATATTTAAAAAAATAAAAAATTAAATTCAAAATTTCAGTGCATCCTCTTCTGTGCATATATAGTTGCATCAATATAAATATCACTTTAGTTCAAATGGACAAAATGCATCACATGAAAACTTTTCCATTTTGTCATCATTTTCTTGCTAAAATTGTTCTTGATATATAAAAATTCACACACACACACACATATATATATATATATATATATATATATATATATATATATATATATATATATATATATTGAGGAAAAGTGTTCAGTATTGGAGATAGATCCTTTATAGATATTTACAGTGTATATATAGCAATCAACACGCATGGTGTCAGTCAGTTTCATACTTCAATGTGATTTAACTTAAGCTAAAGATTGCATGAAACTGACAGTCACCATGTTGTGTTGATCCCTATGTCGCCACACATACACACACACACAGAGGTTGTATCTCTGATATTGAGCACTTTTACTCATAATTATGTTGCACCTTAAAACTACATTTTTATCTCACACACACACACACACACACACACACACACACACAGTAATATATTATTACTACTATATGTGCTTTATATTTAGTGCATACGTGAATTTGAGTAGACATCACTGTTTTTTTGTTTTTTTTTAAACAAAAAAAAAACAGTGAAATGAATTTGAGTCATCAAAAATTTTAATAAAGTGTTTTACGACTGGTTTGCCAGCGATTTTCAAGATTAAAAGCAGATTCACTACTTGTCTGGAGGCACTTTCTGTGTTTATAATAATATAATTGCATGAAACCATAGATAAACCCCTACTCCTGTTCAAAAGACCATGGTGGAGTGTGAGCCTATCTACCTTTTTATTCAGGGAAGCAAAAAAAAAAAAAAATGAATAGTAAATAAAATTTCAGAGTTTAGGAAGAGATGCTTGAAGTAAAAAGTTGAAATAGATTTTAGAAAGAACCAGAAACCCAGTCCTAAACAGAGAACAAGGCATAAACCTCTACTATTGTTCAAAAGACTGGGGAGATGTGTAAACTGGGTGATAGGCAAACCTATCTACTCCTATTGATATTTTTTAATAATTTTTGATGTCTGGGATGGTAGACATTAATTTTAAGAAAACAGCAATTTAACATTAGTTAATTAGTTCCTTCTGTTCCTTATGGAACATTGGGCTCCTCTTAACACCGTATCCAAGGTGTGCTAATTTCAGTGGGAATTTGAATTCACAAGTGATCTCCTGCTGCATGTATACACACTTTTAGGATAGTGCATTCTGGTTTGAATTTATAATTTTCCTTCTAGGCTGGTTAGTATCCAGTGCTATAAGGCAAGGTCTGTCCTGCTACTTTACCCATAGCTGGGGAGAGAAGAGATGGGTTCATACCTTTCCAAAGGGTATTAGCACATAAGTGAACTCAACTGAAATTTGAACTCTGCTCTCCAATTCCACAAACCTAGTTGATAATGTGCTTAAAAATTAATGGGTTTATTTTTAGTCCAACATTTTTATTACTTCAAACAATATTTTTAGTGGATATCCATGTTTGATATAGACTTCCAGTTTTTGTTTTTATTTTTTTTTCAGGGGTATGGGTTTTTTTTTTTTTTTTTTTTTTTCTATAATTTTTTAAACAGTACTTATTATGCCAGTCAGCTTGCACACTTGAAAAATCTTAAAGAAAATATGCTCTCCAGCAATGTTTGAACCTGCATTCCTTGATCTGACATACTTTAGTTTGCTTGGTGACAGAGAGCATCACAACCCAGCAAGGTTCTATTTACCCTTTAAAGGAATGCACACTTGTTCAAATTTTTCTCAAAAGCCCATATCTGTTTAGTTTCCATAGCTGAAACGTAAGCAAAGCAATTTATAAAAGAATTAATGGAATTATTTTTAATCCAACATTTTTTTTTTAAAAATCTGAACAAGGAAGCGTGTATTCCTTAAAAGGTAAAATAGAACCCTGATGCTCTCTGTAGCCATGTGATCTAGTGCATGCTGGATCAAATGATGGTTTCTCCCTACAAAGGAGGACACAAGTTTGAACCCTGCCAGAGAGCACGTTTTCTGTATTAAGTTTTCTTGAATGCACAGGCCAGTAGAAGCAATGCACACTATTCAAAAAAAAAAAAAAAAAAAAAAAACAGATATCGACTAAGATAACATTTAAAGTAATAAAGATATAAACTGTAGACATGTTTGTTTCGCACTTTAAGTGATCATCACACCAGTGTCTGCTGTAATGTCCAAACTAATTTCTATGCTCTTACTCTGTGTTTGTAGTTATATCATTATAGTTGTTTTTTTTTGTTTTATAATCATTTCACCCCATGCAAGGAGGTAATACCACTAGTACACAGGGGGTAAGTCAGGGGTATTCAAACTTTTTTTGATGAGGAAAATATGCATGACAGCCAACCATTCTGCTTAGCCTTCTTTGAACTATTAAATACAAATGAACTATTTTATAAAAAATTTTATTGCAAATGGCATATTTTCATTTCCTCACATGAATGACAAATTTAAGCAGGTCTTACCAAAATCGCTCAGCCTGTCATATCTGAAGCCATATAAGATGAAGTAAAATATATCTGAGAAAAAAAGAACTTCCAGGAAGCTATATCTTGCGTTAATCTTAAACATTACATATTATTGTTAATTAATGTTGTCTGTCATTCATCTTATTAAGAAGTAGAAAACAAAGTGACACAAGTCAAAGAGTACAGATATATTTATAAATGATTTTAACCAACACAAAACAAATTTAATTCACTATTTCACATTTTTATTTATTCATCTCAGATGACCAAAACAAATAACTTGCCTGCACTAATGGTAAA